ACATAGTCATTTTATATTTAGTCCCATGTTGTTCCACTTTTTTTGGTGGAACAAAAGTTATTAAGTTTTGTTCCATGAAATTTAAAAATAGTCTCATCTTGTCCTATGTATTTTTTGTCCATGGCATGCCAAACATGAGACTATTTTTTTTGTCCCGTCCCGTCCCATGTAATCTGCATACCAAATACACCCTTAATAAAATTTATCCACCTTCAAAATTCTTTGCTATTTGTCTCGTATTAAACATTACTCGTAGGATATTATTATGGCATTCTTCAGATACACTCTTTGTGAAATATACTTTAATGACACATTTTCTAAAACTATTCAAAATGACAAAACTTTTTAATCCGTCTTTTATTTACTCGATCGATACATTGACGGTAACATTCTTCCGTATTGACAATACTAGAAAGGTACCCGCGCAATACAGTGAGATAAATCTCGATTTTAATGTTTAGATTTTATTATTTGTCTCTATCGATATAATACGATTTTATGTGGTTTTGAGTAAGCGGTAATGTTTTTATTTTTGAATTAAAATATAAATTTGAAAATAACATAATAAGTTGTACTTACGCAAAATTACTTGTAATATTAAATTGTAAGTAATATGCATCAATAAACAATACTTCATACATAAAAAATGATTTATAAGAGTTTTTGTCAAATACTTTATAATATAGATATAGATTAATCACAAAAATAAGTCCAAATACGTTTATTATCATCAAAATTTACATTATTATAAAGTATAAAGGTTTTCCATACATACACTTGCACCAAAAACATTATTCATTATGAATAATTCATTATTCATTATTAATTTCAACCAACCAGCATTTAATGTCGCCAATGAAGAAGAGAGGTCCTCAGAGATTCAATATTCAAATTGCTCTACAACGCCTGTCCCATGACCCATTTTGTTTACAAGGCCCCTCCCATCATCTTGTTCCGTTTCATTACTTTTCAATTATATACTTTGACCTCTTTAATATATAATACAATAATTTTGAAGGTGATTATTATTATTATTTAAATTACAACATTAAAGTCATAAATCATATTCTAACTTATTTATCTTCCCTATACATAAAAAAGTCAAGAGAGAAAGAGATTAAGAAAAAACCCTAATGTCAAAAAGACACTACAATAAATTTAGTTTATAGGACGCCACCAATTTCAAAGCGTCTTATAGGACTCAATTTATAGGAACAAAAAATAAAATGTCATATCTAAAAGCGTTGTAATGAGTTTATATGAAGCTGTATAAAATTGTCATAATCTAAGCAAGATAACAAATAATTCAATTGCTTTAAGAGATTTTGATGATAGTTTGACCAACATAATGCAACTGTTAAGAATATAATGATATATTTAAAATAATATGGAGAAATGTGTAGGGATGAGTTGTCCCTACTCCCGTCCTTGTTCTCGTCGTTGATGATGATTCAGATCCCCTTCCTATTGGAACACGGGGATTACTTGACCCGAGAATCAAATTTAAGAAATCCCAGTATTTCTTAAAATTGGCCAACATAGTTGATATCAATCTTAATAGATACTTGTGAACTCATCAAATATACTATGATTCGCAAATTCAAGAGAAGATGATGTTTGAGGAGGGACAATCTGTTTCTAGAGAATATCGTAGTCAAACGATAACGTTTTTTCCTTATTACTCCAAAGGGTGTGTCAAAATTTCTTTAGGCTCTAAGCCAACATTCAACATGAGATATATCTGATTCCGTCAATAATTATATATTTTTCACAAACAACACCTACTTGGTTCAAACCTTTTTAACTCTTATACTCCATTAGAAGAACTCGTCTAGAATGTGACCATATCTCTATCTTTCTTAGGGGCCGTTTACCAAATGCTTATCCGGGTAAGTGTTTACCAAATCACATTACATTACCGAATGAATATAGTAAGGACCAAGAATATTACGCGGTAAGTGAGGGCAACGACCCTTACCACGGTAAGTGCTTATCGGGTAAATTGTTGCATACGATGCCTTTTTGATGGACTAAAATCTTATCCGATAAGTAGATGACAATGTTAATTTTTGCTGATAAGCACTTACCGAGTAAGTATTTGGTAAACGGCCCCTTAATCGCACCCGCACCCCATGCAAGGAGTAGAATATGAGAATGAGGCGGGATTCTTCTACCCTACCCCCATCCTTGTCTTTTAATTCGGACGGGTACCTAGAAAAGCACCATCCTTCATAAATGCAGCTTATTTAATCCAAATTCAGTTTTCGGACCTTTTAACAGTATTTAGAAGAAAACGAACGTTATTACCTTATGGATCTTTTGAAAATGTAATGTTTGATTTCATTATTTATTTATTTATCAAGTACCTACTACTAATTTATTAAAACTACGAGAAAATATCATTTACATTTTTTATATCGATAAATTATTTACAGTAAAAAGACGTGACGATAAATTACCAAAAAAATTCATTTTTTAAAAATATGATTTTTCATTTTATTTAGAATAAAATTTAAAAGAAAAGTTGATAAGTGTTACAAGAAATTAACCCAATAAATTTATTTAAGAGATGGTTACATAAGAACTAATTCATTAAACTATATTGCTTTAAATTCAAATTTTAGTTAGCGTATTAATTTTAGTAACAACTCTATTCATTAAATCATCTAAACGTTTTCTTTCGTCCATATGAATTCAATATTTTTAGTGTCAATTTACTTCTAAAAATAACACCCATTTTATTATATTTATATATATAGAACGTTTCAAATGCAACTCATCACATTTGTACAACCAATGTAATCCAATCAATTGAGATATTTATGAAAATGATAAAAATTCATTTATTATGATTTGAATATTTAGGAAAGATAACTAGGGTTCGTTGATTACGATCAATATTTTATATTAGGAAACAATCAAAACTTCTGTAAAATCACATATTAATCAAATTAAATGAACGGTTGAGATTGAGTTGTATTGGTTGTACAAATATAAAGAATTGCATAATAATTCATTTCTCTCTCACTCTCTCTCTCTCTATATATATAATGTAATTAAAGACAAATATTAATCTGATTAAATACTACTTTATTGTTTTGCTAAATTCAAATTTGTGTTTATAATATTCTGATAATGAGTTATTTAATCAATTAAAATTGTTTTTATAAAATGTTGTGAAAATCTAACATTATTTATTTAAAAATACATTAATAAGTTTAATTTTTTCTTATTAGTTGTTAATTTAAATTCCTAACTATAATTTTGGTTTATAGTTTTTGTAAAATACTTTAAAGTTTTACTGTTTTTTTGTAGAATTTTAATGATAATAAAGAATATTTATTCCACTATGTAGCATAATAAGCGCTAAATTATGTTTTTAGTAATGTAGAGTAAATTATGTTTTTAGTCCTTTGGCTTGTTAAAAATTACGGATTTCGTCCTTATAATTTCATAATTTTGGTTTTTATCTCTATAGTTTGTAATTCATTTTTATTTTCGTTCCTACGACCAAAACACTATTTTTAAGTATGAAAAATTAAGATAGAAATAAATTGTAAACTACAGGGACAAAAAAACAATAAATTTTAAATCATAACGATGAAAAGGATAATAAATTATAAACAATAAGAATAAAAATTATAATTTCAAAATTATAAAAATAAAAAAAACAAACCATAAAACTAAAAGTATGATTTAGGAGTCGTTTACCAAATGCTTACTTAGGTAAGTGCTTACCAAGTTACATTACCTTATCGGATGAACATGGAAAGAACCATGAATCTTAACCGGTAAGAGCGAGTCAAGGACCTAGAGTCTTACCCGGTAAGTGAGGGCAATGACTCTTACCATGATCGACTTTTACTACGGTTAGCTCTTAACGGGGTAATGGTTGCATAGAAAGCCGTTTTTTGTTGACTAAAATCTTACCTGTTAACTAAATGATAATGTTCAATTTTACCGGTAGATGTTTACCGGGTAAGTGTTTGGTAAACAACCCCTTAATCTAAATACAATAAAAGTAAGTTAGAGCACCCTTTGATGGTTTGTTGTATTTTTCTTTCCTCGCTTTTTCATTTTTTAATTTATCTTAGGAGCCGTTTGCTTAAATGCTTATCCGATACGTATTAATCGATAAAATTCAACACTATTATTTATTTCATTGGTTAGTCAATAAAAATGACATCGTATGTAACAATTTATTTGGTAAGTGTTAACCGGGTAAGAATCGTCATCCTCACTTACCGGGTAAGACTATTGGTCATTGTCATCGCTCTTACCGAGTAAAATTCTTGGTACTTGACATGTTAATTCGATAGTGTAAGTGATTTGGTAAACTTTTAGTAAATGGCCTCTTGGATGAGACTTTAGTAAAGTTATTGAGTAATTTTCTCAAATATCTAAAAATTTAAAAGAACATAGCTGACTTGGTATCATGTGAGACCAAACTGTTTTTATGAGACCGGTAAGATCACGTAAAATACATTAAACATTCACAACAAAAGAATGTGAAAGTTTACCTTTACAGTTTTCTTACTACGAAGGTTCGTTGTTTTTCATACCTTGATAATAAGTTGCTGTGAAATTTCAGTGTTATTTTTATAGTTTCACAGATTTCACAAAAACAAGTTGGTATCACGTAAACCCAACCCTAAGATAGCTACTGAAAAAGAACCTATATACTATTTTACACATAAATATTTTATTAAACGAGATTTCATATTTATAAGTAATAATAATTTTTTAAACATATATAAAAAATTATGATTCAAGTTAGAATATAATTAATAAAATAAAATTAAAATACTGTTTTTTGAAAGTTATACACAAAAAATAATAATTAATGAAAATAAGGTGTTTGGGTGGCAGTAAAGTAAATAAAGCGGAAAGCAAAGTCCTATTATATAACAGGGAACAGGCTGAAAACCAGATAGCGGGAGGAAAGGTGGATTCTTGAGACTATAAATAGGGAAGAAGCCGAGAGGCACCAAAAATCCCTACTACAAGAAAACCGCTGGCCCTCCTCCATCTCCATCTCTCTCTGTCTCTTTCTCTATCTCTGCTAAAGCACTAAACAAAGACAAGAAGAAAATTCAACGTTCCTCGCAATCGCACACCCTAGGTTAACCATTCTTTTCAATTTTATGTTTTTTTTGGGCTTGCAGATCCAATAGCAATGACAACGTCTCTTTGATTGCATAAATATTCAGCATTTTCCATGTATCCATCAGTTAATTATTCATATATGTACATGTTCTCGATCCTTGTTAGCTTACAAAAAGGTGCGTTTGCAATTTGCATGCATTTCTCTCTCGTTTTCTGTTCTTCTTTCTGTAAAGTCGTGATCTGTAGAAGGTGGAAACTTCAATTTAATGTGTAGGTTTTGGGGAACTGGAAGTTTCTGAATGATTTTGATATCAGGTTTTGAATGAAATGCGATTTGAGTTGTTTTGGATGGTGGAATTGGGTTTTTGTGGTTCAAACGATTCAGATCTGTTGGCGAGAAAAGGATTCTAGTGATATTCTGTTTCTAACTTATCTTATTCTTACTAGCTGTAAATATTTGTGCTTATTTAAGTCTCGTCTATCCTTTCCTTTCTTTTCAAATTGATATATGAGTTTTTTTTTTTCTTGATTCCTGAAAATTTGCTTGCCTTACGTTTTCATCTTTCTGTATAATAACCTTGATTACAACACAAACCAGTTTTAATACTTTTTAGTGTTGGTGTTTGTTGAAAAAAGGTCGAAGAAAGGAAAAAAGGAATTGGTTTTTGTTTCAATAGTTGTGGTTGGGGGAGGTAGGTAGTCTGGTTATCCATAAATGGTGCTCTTCTGTAGGCCGGTGAAAGTGTTTTCACCAGAATTGGTTGGGTGTATGCCATTTATGTAAGGTAGGTTTAGCACGTAGACAAAATTCTTTTATTAAGAGGCTTCCAGCTTTTCATTGGTAGGAAGTGATGATGACCCTTTTCCTGTTGCATCTAAATGGCTTTCTGATTTGCTTGCTATAAATCATATATATTTAATTGATTGAATTTGCTTAGCAGAGAATATGTTCAAGGTTTGAAGAAAGTACTAATTACCCTTATATTAGGACTTCTTATGGGGTATGTGATAGTTGTAAAAGGGCATAAAATAGTGCAAAATTATCTAGGGTGCTACCTTCTTTAATCAGTGATAAGAAAGTTCCTGATCTGGCAGTTCTCTTGTCGTGCAGGGATATATGTTGCTCTTTGATCAGCTTTGAGCAATCATTTATAATTTGGTGGGCACGTCTGGAAACATAGATTTGACTAATAAACATACGAGTTAATCCAACGTTAAAATACTTTAGTCATGGTTGCTATGGCTGCTACTGCATCACTGTTTCCGGTTTCTTCCCCACAACCTCACTCTGGGACCAAGACATCTGGTAAGCTTGGAGGTGTGCCAGATAGTGTTGATGTGCGTGGAATTAAGACAAAATCTGTTACTTCAGGAGGTTTGCAAGTTAAGGCTAATGCACAGGCTCCTGCAGAGGTAAATGGGACTAGAGTGCGTACCATGATCAAGACTGATGATAATTCTACCTCACATGTCCCAAGAACCTTTATCAACCAGTTACCGGATTGGAGCATGCTTCTTGCTGCAATCACGACAATCTTCTTGGCTGCAGAGAAGCAATGGATGATGCTGGACTGGAAAACCAAGCGGCCCGACATGCTTGCTGATCTGGATCCTTTTGGTTTAGGGAGAATTGTGCAGGATGGCCTTGTATTCCGTCAAAACTTCTCTATTAGGTCATATGAGATAGGGGCTGATCGAACTGCATCAATAGAGACGCTAATGAATCATTTGCAGGTATGGTAATTTTTCTTATAATGGATTTTCATGGTTAGCGTTGTAGGTTTCATATGTAGAACTCGAATTTATGAAAATCTGCACTGCACCATGCTCTGTCATTTGTCTGTTTATTAGCTCAAGCTAAGGCTTTTAATTGATATTGTATGGCTGATTTACCAGGAAACTGCCCTTAATCATGTGAAGACTGCTGGACTCTTGGGTGATGGCTTTGGCTCAACACCAGAAATGTGCAAGAAGAATCTATTTTGGGTGGTGACAAAGATGCAGGTGATGGTAGACCGTTATCCAACTTGGTAAGTCACTTGTCTCGGTTATCTTCGATGGTTGTCTTTAGTAGACAGTCATGGTTGAGAATAGGATTTCATAACATCTGCATTTAGTATTCGAAGTTCCTAATTCTGGTTTCTATTTGTTCTGTTATGTTTTATTCTTATATTGAGCCACAGAAAGTTGTAGCTTAATGGATAAAACCTCTTCCTTTTCATGGGTGTTAGGAAATTTCCTTTCACGTCCTACTTTGAACATGATATATAGCTTTATTTCTAATGGAGCTTGGTGTTGATGATAACCTCTGAATCTACTCCAATAATAGTATATTCTTATGGTAATGGACCACAGTAGTACATGGTTGCAATTAAGAAAGCACAGGACATTTGAGAATCCGAAAGTTATGGTTTTAGAGATATAATAGCTATGTGAAAGACCTCCTTTTGCTTGATTATGTTGAAGTTAGGTAGGCACTTGACCCTGATGTATTTTGACATTCTCAAATCTATTGCAGGGGCGATGTTGTTCAAGTAGATACATGGGTAGCTCGATCTGGGAAAAATGGCATGCGCCGTGATTGGCTGCTTCGTGATTGCAAAACAGGCGAGATCGTAACAAGAGCTTCAAGGTAATAACTTTTATGGAACTTTTTTCAAATAGTCTAAAATGATGCTGATCAGAACAACAATAATGATAGTAGTTTGTTTATTTACTTATAAACCTTACTGATATTCTTGTAAGTTGTAACTAATGCTGTGGGAAGCCATTTTGGAAACAAGATTACGAGACTTGAAACTTTGGGTGACAATTGGTATGTTGTATCTTGCAGTAATTGGGTTATGATGAATAAAGAGACACGGAGATTATCGAAAATTCCAGATGAAGTCCGAGCTGAAATAGAGCATTACTTTGTAGATGCACCACCAGTGGTGGATGATGACAACAGAAAATTGCCTAAACTTGAAGAGACCACTGCTGACCATGTTCGCGATGGTCTAACTGTGAGTTAACTTAAAATCTTTCTATGAAGATGATCTACCATTTTCAGTATCAATTGTTTACCTGACTTTATTTTTCAGCCAAGGTGGAGTGATTTGGATGTCAACCAACATGTTAACAATGTCAAGTATATTGGTTGGATCCTTGAGGTAAGCCTCTTCTCTTACAATCACCCATTAATTTCATTAGTCGATAGTACTTTTGTATAGACACCTTCTATCCATTCATACACACATATGCATCATGTACCCCATTTGTCCCAGAAGAAGTGTCAACATTTCTATTTTAATTTGTTTCAAAATAAGTGTTAACTTTCTAATTCTACCCTTAGTTATGAGACGAATATTGTATTATTAATTTAGAGGATGAATGAGGATTTACGTTCATGTGATGATAAAATACGTGGTTGTTATTGCAGAGTGCTCCACAACAAGTTGTGGAGCAGTATGAGCTTGCTAGCTTGACTCTGGAATACCGTCGAGAATGTAGGAAGGATAGTGTGCTGAAGTCTCTCACCTCGGTAATAGGAATAGCTGATTCCAACCATGTTGATTGCCAGCATGTGCTCCGATTTGAGAGTGGTGGTGATGGTGAGATTGTAAAAGGAAGGACTGCATGGCGACCAAAATACAAGGATCCAGTTAGAAGCATTGGTCACTTGTCTGCTGGAAATGGAAATGCAAATGCAAATGCCTAATGCCATGTTTGATGTTTGCCCTTTTGCCTCATTTTCAATCTGTATAAAGAATCATCACTCATCCTATCTATGCTATGCCCTTCTCTTGGAAATAACTTGCAATGTCCTGCCCCCATATATACATATTTTTCTATTTTGTATGTTCTTTCTCTCACTTTTTATTTATTTATTTATTTATTTATTCTGAATATGTAGTAATCATTCCTTTGTTAACTGAGAGTTTCTGAGCTTATGCATTGATCCCATGCCAACCGTCAAGAACAACCAGGAGAATCTCTTTTCTTTCTTCTTCTTGGGCTTTTGCGATTCTTTTCTTTTCATGCACATCGCTTGTTATGGAAGCGGGTCATTAGAAATTGTTGGTTGTGATCGGGACTTTGACCAACGAGATGAGATCAAATGCGAGTGTAGATGTTGGAATGAATGTTAGGTTGAGGGTAAAAGTACATGGTAAGCTTTAAAAGGAAAGATTATGCACACAATTAATCTCAAGACTGGTGTACTGTTTGGTTACATATAAGAGGACATGTGCATTTGCTAAACCCATCTTGTACATTTAAATTTAGAGTGTTACAAAAGCTACAGAAATCCTATTGTTTTGCAAATTATTATGATCATCTACAACTAACAAACCAACAAAAAAGTCAAAGTTGAAGTGAAAAATATATAATGTGTAAATTAAATAATATAAGTTTGGTATTAAAATAGGTTTTGATTGACTTCATAATTTTTGGTTTATCCCTTTTCATGAACAATCATATTCACATGGGAGACAAGGGTGTGTTGAGCAATTATAAGCAATAGACATTGAATTATTAGCCTCCATATTATATTTAATATTTAATATTTAATATTTAATATTTGTATGTAAATGTAAAGTACATTGGGTAACATGCATTTTCACATGAGGGATACCCCTTTGCCTACTTGTACACAAAAAAAGCTATCAATCATTTGCCAAATTTTGGCTATGTGGAACACTCAAAATAAATAAATATAGAATTATGTTTTTACCTTTTTTTAAAGACTAGATTATATCCTTGGTCTATGATTACCTTTAGAACCTTAAAAGATGGAATAATTATGAATTTGATTCATATAATATATATTTTATAACGTTTTTGGTTCTTTATTTTATCTTTGTTAAAGTACCAGTTAACTCTTGACGTATTTTGAACTTCTAAGCTATAATATATCATATACTGAGCTGACCTTGGCTATAGGCTAGAGGAACGATGGTCCGGGACAACAGACAACTCAAGGGCATCACTTCTTGAAGCCCATTTGTATATAGGTAGGTTCATTTTGAGCCTTAACAAAAAATATTACCGTTATTCTATGGGCCAAGGGCGTCGATCTGATTCATCTCTCTCGGCCTCACTTCAAGATTCAAGAGCGACTCGATTAGATTAGAGTATTAGACGAACTGATGATTCACGAACTCTAAAACTAGCTCTCGACCTCTCGCTCTTGTTAACTTGTTTCTGTTTATGTGAGTGACTTGACCAGACCTCTCGCTCTCGCTCGCCTCTCGGCCTCGTTTTTGGAAACTGGAACTCTAGAAGACTAGGTCTGGAGACTGAAACTCGTTTGATTCTGAATCATCTCCCTCTGGCTCTCGATTAATGTGGTCTATATTTTGATTTCTAATTTGTTTTAACTTTTATGCTTATTGTTTAGTTTAGATTAGGGTTATTTTGTTTAGTTTAGGTTTACCCAAGTTCTTATTTTATCTTTACTGTTTAGTTTGGTTTAGATTAGGGTTATTTTCTTTAGTTTAGGTTTATCTATTTCCTGATTATTGGTAGTCTCTAGTCTTTAGATTAGATTGTTCTTTTGTTGATATTTGTTATCATTGTTACTGTAGAAACAAAGTTGTTTCAACCTTGAAGTTTCGACTTGTTTGACAATTTCACGAATAATATGCATTGGGTATTCAATGTACTAAGCACTTATTCTTATAGTTTTTAACTAGATATTTTTCTTTCATCCTAAATATTGAGTCATTTTCATTACATTGTTTTCCCCTTTATTGTTTTATGGAGCTAAGTATGTGATTTACTTGTTTCTACGCCCAAGGATGCCTAATTTAATCAAAATGCAGGCTTGTTTTATGCTGCGACATTTATGCAGCAACATATGGTGGAATTGCGGATTTTTGGAGGATTGTTTGTATTCAGCTACTAAATTTCATCAAGACAAATTTTTTTAAGCTTGGGACTACGTTTGGAAGCTTCCCTGAATGATCCTTGGATTGATATCCATTTTGTGTTTGTCGTGATTAGCTTTTGTACTTAAAAGTACTTTATCTTTGACTTTCTAATCTTTAGCCCCAAGTTTTAGGTTTTGTCTTTCCCCCTCTTTTTTTTTTCTAAATAAGGGAGGCGAGGTCTTTTGTAAGTGTGTGCAATTAGTTCTAAACAGATTTTGGTACTTAAATTCCAAGTTAGTTCTCCAGTTTCTTTAAATATTGTCTTTACATTCCTTTGCTGCAACATTACATTCTTGTTTTTACTTTATTCATATTCCTTGCAATTTAATTTCCGCACTTCAGTTTTAGTAATTTAATTTAGGCCATTTACATTCATGTACTTACTTTCTGTCTTTTATATTTCTTGCAATTTACTTTCCATAATGAATAGCTAATTTTTTTTGTTTGAGTGTGAGATAAATGAAGGAAAGTGGACGTTATTTTACAATAACAACATTCCACTATTTCATTCAAGTTTTATAAAACCAATGACATTTATTGACAAATTGATCACTTTAAAAGTGTTAAAGTGTCATGGTCTTAGAGATAAACCATTGAATGCACGCCAATGTGAATGATATGAGAAGTAGACTTGAGAGAGGTGCTGACAAAGAGATTTGTACTAATTAATTCTTGACGGGTTATCCACTTGTTAAAGTGTTAAAATGCAGTAGATTCAGAAATGAACTACTTAGAACACACACCAACTTGAATAATATTGGAATCGGCTCGAGTAAGTGATTTTTAACAAAGAGATTTGTTTATCCATATATTTTGAGGACGTCATTTGACACTATCTCTGGTCCTGATATCACATAGAGATACAGGTTTAAAACTATAATATAGTGCAAGGGTGGAAGTCTGAGAGGAATTCCCTCAAAATAGATGGTGGGACTAGTTATGACCGACTGCTTGTTGTAGCATCCCTACAACATTGTCTGCTAGAATTTATGTTTATGTCTCACAACAAGTCTTACACCTATGCTATATTTATTTAATATGTTATTTGCATTTGTTAACTCAACAACCAATCAAAGTCTTCAAAATCGTCATCTGAAACCATTTCTTTCATTCTACTTTTATTAAGCTTTTACTACGATCCATGTGGATGATATTCGGTATTCTATACCACTTTATTACTTGAATGACGATATTGAGACTAATTGTATATATGCTTTTGGTCCTGATTACTAAGTTTATGGGTGTGTAAAAGCTTCTGTCAAGTTTTTGGTGCCGCTGCCGGGGATTGACAAGTTAAAAGTTCTTTTTAAGAGTAAAATAAAAGATTTGATTTTCCTAACACCGTTGAATCATTTGGAAGTGGTGTATGCCAAGGATACACCGCGTAAAGTTTCTCGAATTTGATCTTGATATTGAGAGAACATTCCGCAAAGAAGGAGGGCACAAAGAATATTTTTTGCTCTACTCCCTCCCAATATGGGGTTACATCCCCCACTTATTGCAGATCCGCCACCTTAGCCACCGCCACGTTTGGAAAATCGACCACCTGGTTTTATACCACAATTTCAGGATTTTCCACAAGGACCACCAAATCAAGATGAGATAAATTATGACACAGAATCTGAAAATAATGATCAACCACGGGTTCAAGCTCCAGACATAATTAATCTTGCAAATTCTAAAAATGGAAGAATTATGAACTATGTTTATCCTGGATTTTGAGCAATTGAACTCATGAATAGTTAGGCCTCATATGACAGCCCTCCATTTTGAGCTAAAGTTCCATATGTTGCAAACAAATAGACAATTTGTTGGATTACCATCAGAAGATCCTCACTCACATTTAAAATCTTTCATGGAAATCACTGATGTTTTCTTGATCCTGAGAGTGTCTAACGACGCTCTAAGGCTCATTTTATTTCCATTTTCTTTATGAGATCAAAGTCATAATTTAATTCATTACCACCAGTATCTGTACCATTATGGATTAATATGGCTGAAAAGTTGTTACGAAAATATTTTCCACCCATCGGGTGCTCAAAATATTAAAAAAAAAAAAAAGACAAGTAGAAATTGCTCAATCTTTGAAAGGATCTTTAAATAAGTTTATTGTTAGACAACCAAATGTTTTTGAAAATGCTTGTGATAAAAATGCAAATGCTTGTGATGCAAATGAAAATGTTTGTGATGAAAACATTGATGATGCTTCTAATGATATTTGTTTGAATATATTTGATCCAAGAATTTGAGATATGTTAATTTGAAAATGAAAGATCTGCTTGTTGAAAAAGGACCTATTAGGGAAACTAACATCAACTTCCATAAAGATAATATAGGTAGACACTTCTCTACTGAATTTTATGTTCATAAGTTACACGATGGTGATTGTCATGATAGAAAGTGGTTGGTTTACTCAAAAGAACTAGATACAAATCTTTTATTTTTGTTGCAAGCTTTCATGATATAAAGGCGTTAGTTTATTCATATATCACTAGAAGGGTACTCGCACAATGTAGCGAGATACATCTTGATTTTAATATTTCATTTTATTCTTTATCTCAGTCGATGTTATAATATGGTTTTATGTGATTTTGAGAAAGCGATGATGTTTTTATTTTT